TCCTTTCAGGGTCCTTTTTAGCATCGGCATCGGCAAAGCTGTCTGAAGGCTCATCGGAGTGCAGGAACAAGGGGCCTGAGTGGTGAACATTTACTCTGTAAGTGAGGTCAAGCAAAAAATGTGATGCCCAAGGAGGTCTTTGACCTTGGGCCCAGTCCAGGAGAGCACAGAGATGAGATCTAGAACATGGGAGGGGCCAGTCTGGTGCTCTGGCTTCATAAGCTCTGTTTCTGAAGTGCTCTGAGCTGCACTTGAGACACAGTCCTGAGATGTCCAAGTGTCTGGGCAGAGAGCAGCCTGGCGAAAGACGTGGGGCTCCCTGGACAGCAAGACTGCATTTTGACTCCCGGGGACAGATGTGTCCAGGAGTAGAACTGAAAAGTGACTGTTCCCTGGGACTTTATTACTTAATGACTTGTCTGCATAACTGTGTGTAACTGTCAGAGATATTTTACCTGAGTGTGACTTTGGACTCAATGGCTTCAGTTCAAATGGATGGGAAGTCATGTGGGGGAGTAACCTGGCGGATCCTCAGAAATGTGTGCCACGGAGACCTGGACAGGCTGGAATTGGATTCATGTTCTGGTCTGTGGATGACGTAGCTCCAAAGAGGTCAACCAAGCCAAAGCTCTCAGGTTCTGACCTCTCTTCTCCCAATCTCCAGTTTCAACTTCGAGGCAGACTTCCTGACCGCACTGTGGATGGCTCCGAGAGTGGTTCTCAGACGTCAGTGTTCATAGAAATGCCTTGCGAAACCCCCAGACTCCTGCTGACCCAGCCCAGAGGCCAGGCGTCTGTGCTCGGGAAGCTCTGCGGGTCTTGGGTGCTGCCCGCACGTGGGCCAGGGTCCTCTGCTTTCTTCCTGGCCCGAGCTCTAAGCCCGTCCCTGGAAAGGCTTGTTAAGCAGACAACTTGGCTTTCCTGTGACCGCGTCTTCATTTCCAGAGAGGTTAATAGTCCCTGCTTTCCCTGCCTCAGAGGACTGACTGCTGGGAGGCTGGAGGAAGATGGGCAGGAAACTGTTTCGGGAAGTGTGGAGCTCTGCACGAAGGCCAGATGCCGGCTAGCCCAGCGCCTGGCACATGTCGGTTGGCAAAGTGAAAAGATGCTCCTCGGGGTCAGAGAAGGTGATCAAGAGCAGTCCAGAGGGATGTTTAGGAAGAGGCAGGGGCAGCAGGGGCTGTGGTTGCAGCCCTCCTTAGGCAGTGGGACAGACAGACCCAAGGACAGCTGCTGGACAGGAAGTACAAAGGGGGCGGCTGGACACCAGCTCCTTCCTCCCCTCTCCCCCTAGTCCTTCCCTGGAACCCCAGCACTACATGGGACAAGGTTTGCAAACGAATGGGGGCAGAAAGGACTAGGGACCGAGGGCTGTGAACCTGGGCTCTGCCCCAGCCCTACCCCGACCCTGGGCACATCTCTGAAGCTCCCTGGCTTGGGCTTCCTCTGCAGTCGGACTCATCCCAGTGCTCTGAGTCCCTGTGGGAAGTGTTTTGGAATGTGTTAGGAGCTGGGGGGAAAGGTGTTAGGGGTGGGGAGAAGAAGGAGGGGCCGAGCCTGCTCCCTGCTGAGGCTGTGGGGGAGGTGAGCAGCGGAGAGACTGACCCCCCACGGAACGGAACGGCTGATGGCGGAGGGAGTGTCAGCGAGAAAGCAGAACCAGCTAATGCCCTGCTCTGACGGCATGAGTGGGGCCCGGGCACCAGCCTGTCAGGCACACGGGCCTTTCCATGATCTCCGGGGCTGAGCTGGGGGCTTGCTATTCACGTAGGGTGATGTAAGCACCCAGGCCTGTCCAGGGCCAGGGCGGCTGGCTTGGCAATGGCACATACAGTACAGGACTGCGTGTCCTGGGAGAGACCAAGGCTCCTCTCACCAGGTTCCCAGCCTATGCAGGCTGCCCTGGTCCTCTGCCCTCCCTGCCTCCTCCTCCAGGCCCAACAGGGTGCTTCAGCAAGACGCTAGGGAGGTCAGGGAGTGGGGGAACACACTGGGTCTGATTCTATGGACTTGAACGGAGTTTAGTGGAAGCTTTTGCAGCCTCTACCTGCCTCCTGGAGAAGGGATTGGGCCCAGTGGCACCGCTGCTTTCTGAGGGTTGATCTGGGGACCTAATGGTACATCTTGTTTCATTGAGAGACTTTCTGTCGGGGAAGTTACTTTTGGCCTGGGAAGGAAGGTGCAGGGTGAAGTTCACAGGCCATGAGGTCATCACCCTCCATCTTTTCCACCCCAAATTCCTTAGCAGAAGGTCAGGGAAAGCTTAGCACCAAGAAGTACAACAAGGACGGACTTGTGTACACACATGTGCGCACACCCGACTTCCCGTCCAGGGCCCAGGAGCGGAATGCTCAATGATGCGAAGGTCATGGTAAACCCCCCAGTCTCCCTTGGGACTGTGAAACCCTCTCACTGCTACCAGGAATAGGGGGTATTTGGAGAATATTAGAAATGCCACAGATCAGGCCCAGAGTGCACTTAATCCAGTGTCATCACTGTCACCGCCATCGCCACCCTCACCACCACCACCACCACCACTGTCACGTCACACCATCACCAGCATTACCATCACCACCACTACCGTCGCCACTACCACCATTGCCATCACCACTGCCACTGCCACCACCACCACTATCATTACCATTGTCACCACCACGACCATCACCATTGTCGCCGCCACCACCATTACCATCATTGCCGCCACCACCACCACCACCACCACCAGCACCATCACCCCCACTGCCACCATCACCACCATCAACTCATTCAGAACCTCTGAGAAGGGGGACCAAGAACGAGGTGGCCCCAATATGCATCCAGTACTGAGTACCGCTGGTTCAGAGGCAGTTCTGTCAGGGAGTGTAGACCAGTGCCCTCAGACTCTTATGTGCACCTTGGCATCTTGTTGAAATGCAGGTTCTGATTCAGGGGGTTTGGGCTGGGGCCCGGGAGCCTGCATCTGCCCCAAGCTCTGCTGAGGGTGCCCGGACCACACTGGGGAGCATGGGTGGAGAACCCCGCTACACCTGTGTGGAGTCAGGCAGTCTCCTCGCAGCTCGAGGTACCATCTGTGATGCTGAACAAAGCTTTCAGTGTCTCTGATTCCAGTCCTTTCATCTGAAGAATGGGGTGAGAGTAGGATTTGTTTTACAGAAGCAAGTCAGACTAAATTGAGTAGGATCAGTAAGTCAGTGTTCCATGTATGTGAGGTCTTGAGCATTGCTCGGCACCCTGAATGACTGTACCAATGCACCTCATGGGATGTGCACTGTATCCTCCTGCTCAGATGACTGTCAGTCTCCTTGAGTTAAACCAAGTTCCTGTCACAGATTTTTCTCCAGAGGGTGGGGGATGGTAGAGACGCAGGCAAAGGGGTCAGGACGTGCTGGTATTTAGGTGTTCATGAAAGACAATTTTAATGAGTAACTTCCAGTTCCCCCACTAAAGGTACCAGGACTTCTTATTGTACCCGAATCTCACCGCAGACCTCCCATAGCGCTTCCCTGGGTCAGGCAGGGCCCCAGCCCCGGGAGCACAGGAGGATCAAGCCTTGGTTTCTGCAGTCTGATCTGAGCCTGGAGAGGGCTGCACAGGGCAGGGCCAGATGCCAGTGGGAAGGGGGTCCCCTGTGCTCCCCTAAACTCATGGAGGGCTTGGATGAGGAGTGGGCAGTTCTGGGTTCCACTCACCCACTAGCCACCTGGTGTCTTGGGCAAATCAAAGACTTTCTCTAGACAGTCAGAGATGTGGGTGACAGTGACAAGAAGGTTGACATGAGGCCATGAATGGCATCACACTGGTGTCAGGGCTCCTTCATAATAAAGGTGCGTGGACTCCCACCCTTCTGAATTTGATGGCAGCCTGCCTCTGGGGACTGATGAGGAATATCTGTTCCTGGCCCCTGGAAGCTGCCTAGCTATTGGGGAACAAGGCAGGTGGGTACCCCAAGGCAGAAGGAGTACCCTAAGAAGTGGCTTTTCTTTGTGGGAGGCAGAGATGTGAGTGGCAGGCTGTGGCTGCTTCCTCAGAGGTCTCGTGCATCAAGGGGGCCGCTGGGGGCAGTCTCAGCTACCCCAAGCCGGGGCGCCTGTGGGCCCCTCACCCCATGTGCCTGCAGTGCCGCGCTCCGTGGGCCTCCTCCTTAAACAAGTCCCCACCTGGGTGGGAGAGGATGGGTCTAGACCTTTCTGCTCTCCCCATTTTCCAAGTAAATTACACTATCCCTGGTCAGGGGTCCCTGGTACAGACTAAGCCCCTACCTGCTCTCTCCTCCTTTGTTCTCCTTGTGCCCTCTGCCCTCCAGGGAAAGCTGTCAACCCTTAGAAGGGGATCCCCGTCCGGAACAGGTTGGCTAAGGTCACCGGGAAGTCCTGGCCCTGCCTATTTTGACATCTGCTCCTCAGGCCACATCGCCCCTGATCTAAGTAATGAGGCCAGCAAATGCCTGCCCTTAAGGGGATGGAGTTGGATGTGTGACTTAAAAAGGCTGAGAGCCCTGAGTAATCCCCCAAGTACTTTGCTGTGTAACCTAAGATGATCTGGCCTGCACACATGCGTCCACTCCTTTGCTGATAGAAGCATAAAAAGCCTGCTGGTTTCTGCCTCTAGGAACTGGCCTCCTTTGGGAGGATCTCCTGGTAGCCAGGCTGCAGTTGCCCGCCACAAGGTTGAAGAAGGACTGGAAGGGACTCAGTGGGGAGGCTCGGGAGTCAGGGCCAGGGGTGGGGCTCCCCAGTGGCTGGCCGCCCACCCCCTTGGTGATGGACAGCAGGTCTGTAACTCCCTGAGCCACGGTTCCCGTGTCTTGGGGGGAGGCAGGATGATCCCTGCTCTGCTTGCCACACAGGGCAGTTACGGAGACCGGGGCGGGGGGTGCCCCACCACACGCCAGGTCCACACCTCCCTCCTGGAGGATGGGAACTAGGTTGAGTTAGACTCTTTTGAGAAGCTAAGCCAGTGCCAACCCTGTGAAACTGACCGATCATGTTCTAATCATTTAGAACTGCAAGTTTCTGCTTCGGGTGGCACAGAAGATGTTGGCAATTTGTTGGAGAATCATTTCTCTGCTGGAGATGCAAGTCTAGAGGAGAAGGAAAGGGCGCTTTATGCAGAGGCGGCCCCTCCAGAGAAGAACCCGCTCCTTCACTCCCCAGATGGCAGGGAGGCTGAGAGCTCAGAGAAGACCTGTGCTGGGGCCCCCGCCACCGGCCTGGGCTCTGACCCTGAAGCCAGTCTCTCAAATGCCTCAGAGTCAGCTGCCCCTGGAGACTCTGCAGGGCCTGGGCAGGAAGAAGTGGGCCCACCAGGAGCCAGTGCACTCCCCCGAGGAGTGGCCGGGGGTGCTGGGGAGGAGGGGGTGCCAGAGCTCGGTGTGGGTGAGGGCCCAGGACAGGAGGATTCTGGGCTTGGGCCCCCTATAAAGGGAGCTGCCAGTGAGGAGTCAGGACAGGCCGGGAGTGATGTGGTCCCTGAGGAAGCTGAGGAGGTCGCCGAGGACAGCCCTGAGCAGGGAGCAGCGGCAGGGACCCCAGAGACTGAGGCGGAGGGGCCCTCTCCCAGCGAGCAGGCTGAGGAGGCCCGAGCCCCGGAGACAGGAGTGGGGCGCAGCCCAGGGCCTGATCGGGAGCCAGAAGGACTGGCTGGAGTCTTGGGTGAGACAGGGGAGGAGCCTGAGGACCAGGGGGCACCCCATCCCAGCCCAGCCTCAGAGGCCAGTGCAGAGACCGGGGGTGCGCAGGGCTCCGAGGTGGGGGGCAGCCCGGAGGACCAGCCCCCAGGAATGCTGGAGGAGGAGGAGGGCTCCCCCTCCTCTGAAGAGGAGAGTGGTGACCACAGCGAAGAAGAAGGAGGAGGGGTTCCGTCCCAAGAAGAATCCGAAGAGGACAGCGGTGACGGGGCTAGTTCAGAAGAGGCAGGGGACACCTCCGAGGAGGCGGAGGAGTCCCAGGAAGCAGCAGGACCCACGAGCCCTGGGGCTGAGGGGGCCCAGCCAGACGTGGAGGAGTCCAATACAAGGCCTGAGGGGGCCGAGGCCCAGGATGTGGAGGCAGAGGAGCCCCAGCGGGGCATTCTGGGTAGGGACTCCTGGGATCGCGCACCTCGGGCAGCCGTGTTTTTCCCGGAGGACTTGTATGCAGAGGGACAGGGTGGGGCGGGAGAGCCCCTGCTGCCCCCAGCTTGCTAGGTGGAGGCACGTCCAGGCAGCCTGGCCCACAGGAGCTCTCAGCCAGTCTACCTGCTTGTGCCCAGCTTGGGGGGACACAGCGAGAGGCCGCACGGTGGAGGGCCCAGAGGAACCTGGTTCCTTTGGAGTCAGGCCCTCAGAAGCCTGCTGGTTAGGTGCCCTCCATGCATTTTGACACAGGGCAGTGCCTTAACCAAGGGACAGGAGACCTGGTGGCAGGGTTGGAGGCCCCATGGCGGGCTGATGGAGAGGTGTACAGGTGCACTGGGGGGGAGGCGGGCCGCTGGGAGCCAGCTGGGGTCTGCCCTGAAGACTAGGTTGCATCAGGCCTGGTGAACCGGGGTGGGTGCAGGAGCATGCTAAGAATCAGGCTGGCTGTGGCACTGATGGCCTGCAGATGTCCTCAGGATGGGGGCGAGTGGGGGGAGAGCAGAGCCCAAGCTCTCAGGCGATGCTGGAGCTGTATTTCATCCTAGGGATGGCCAACACTCCCGTGACCTCCTCCACCAGGGACACTGGCCTGGACCGAGAACCGGCCTCTAGGGGAAGGGCCTGGGGGGCAGCCTCTGCTTTCCAGGGTGGCTTCCCCCCAGGTTTCCTTGTGGATCTGAGAGTCCCCATACAGCTTGTCAGGTGATTGCGCACTATGGCAGTTTCGGGCACCACTGCATTCCCAGCACAGTGCTCCTGCCTGGGGTACAGCAGTTGCGCAATCAGTATTTGTGTTTTGAATACATAAAATGGATCGTGGAGCTTAATTTAATGAGGTTGAGTTTAGATTTTCCAAGTCCCTCCCTCCTAGAGGCAGAGCTCCGTCCGGTTGAACCCCGCAAGCCTGCGTTCAGCACTTCCTCCCGGCCCTGGCCTTGCCTCCCGTGGAGGGGCCCTGGGGCCTGGCTGGCTCTCGGCTTTGCCCTAACCCCGCTCTCTGCTTCTCTCCCCAGAGGAGGCGGAGGATGGGAGTGAAGAAGCCCCAGCGAGGGACCGCTCCCACATCGAGAAAACTCTGATGCTCAATGAGGACAAGCCAGGCGATGATTACTCTGGTGACTGGGGAAGGAGCGCCCAGGGCTGGGTGGGGCCACGAGGCCTGAAGGCGCCCCAGGGAAGAGACCCCTGGGGATCCCCGAGCAGCACCAAGCCTGGGGGTCTGGATTGGTGGGGAGGAGGAGGAAAGGCCATCCCAGCAGAGGGGCCCATGAAAGGGTCAGGGGCAAATCCCAGTGCTGCTGCCCGGGCATGGCCCAGCTGCAGAGGGCACCTCGGGGCAGGGCATGGACAGCCTGACTCTGGGTCCCTTCCTCTTTGTGCCTCCCACTGGGGCGGGGTGGGGTGGGGTGGGGCTTCCAGCCTCGCCCCTGAGTCGCTTTTCCCTGGAGCTGTGCTCTCCCCAAGAAGACACCTGGTATGTCTGAATCCTCCCAGGGGCGCCAGGGAGTGTAGTGATGGGTGAGGGGCCAGGGTGACTGTCCTGCAGGCCTGCTCAGCACAGGGCCCCTTATCCGCCAGCCTGGGGCAAGCCCAAGTAGGGGCGGGGGCAGAGAGAAGGAGCAGAGGTCCTCATCTGCCATGGAAAGGCCTCAGCTGCAGACTGGGGCAGGGCTTCAGGACAGTGTGGAGGAAGGCGGGGCAGAGGGTTAGAATAGAATTAAAAAGTTCAGGAGGCTTTGGAGAGGGGAGGGAATGCCTTCTGGTTTAAAGGAGAGGCTGCGATGTGGACCAGCCCCCCTCCAGGAATGCTCACGTTTGGTACAGTCCCATCAGGCAGGACCAACACTGCTCTGGGGCAAGAGCGGCTCCACGGCACAGCAGCCACCTGGAGCAAGCCCTGCCTTGATGCTTTCCCTCCACCCTTCTTTGCTCGCAGTGGTGCTGCAGAGGCTTCGAAAGATCTACCACTCATCCATCAAGCCCCTGGAGCAGTCTTACAAATACAACGAGCTACGGCAGCATGAGATCACAGGTACGCCTTGCATCTATCTGAGGGTGGGCCAGCACCTGCCACCTGGCCACACTCCCTGGAGCTCTGGGTGCTGGGTGAGCAGGCGGGCAGCTGAGTTCTCCAAGTTCTCCACAGTGGGTGGAGACCTGTTACCTGAACCAGCCTTTCTCTGCGAGCCATGCAGTCTCTCAGAAAGCACTTCCTTCGTAAGCTGTAGTGCAGTCTGGTTCCTGACACCGAGGAGGGCCCGCCAGGGTTCCCTTTCACTGCAGGTCGTGTCTCAGTCTCCTGCTGGGCCTGTAATCCTCCCCTCCTCCTCACTGCTTCACCTGTTAGCTTCCCTTGGGTCTGGACTCTTTGAACAACTAATATTCAACATCATAAAGATAAGGCACAACTTGTTGCTGAAACAAGTTTCAAATAGTGCAGAATAGCATAAACCGAAAAACAAAAATCCCCTTGGAATATTCCCAGCTTCTCTAGTTCCACTCCAGGGACACTCACTGTTTCAGTTCTCCCTGAACACATCCGGACGTTTCCCCTGCACACAGGGGCACCCGAGCTTCTCTCTCCCTGTTGCCTCTGCAAAGATGGAGTCACACACCGCGTGTGTGGCTGCACCCTGCTTTTTTGATCCTTGTGTGAACGCACCAGAGCAGATAACCACTACCCTACTGGTGGTCAACCAGGCTCTTGCTTCGTTCCATTTTTTAAAATATTACAAACGCTACCATAATCATGACATATTTCCTTCAAATATATTTGTAGAGTACATTTATAACAGCAGAATGCTGGAATTAAACATTGTGATACTTGTTGCCAAATCGCCTGAGGCTGCACCAGTTTGTACGCACAGCAGGATGTGAAGTCCTCATTCTCCACAGCAGTGCCGTTCCTAAGTTTTAGCCGACTCCGAAAACTGTAACAGTGGTATCTGATTGTTGTTGGGATGGTCAGGGGTATTACACATCTCTTTGTGTTAAGTGGCTGCTTCTATATTCTCTCCTGTGGGTCTCTTGATGGCTATAAAGTGGATAGGGTATTCTGGGGTGCATGTTATGCCTGCTTTACAGAGACATGCCGGTCACCCAGGACCACACAGCCGGGCCCACGAGCTGGAGCTCTGACTTCCTCAGAGGGAATGCCTGTTTCAGGATTCAGCCCTACTGCTCCTTGCAAGCCCAAGGGCAAACGATCCTCTTTGCTTCATGGGGGGCATGCAGGCACCCTGTGAGGGTGCAGCCTTCCAACTGTGTTCCTGTCCTCCACTCTTGCTTTCTGCAGTAGCCCTCAAGACCTAGGCTTGGCCCAGCAGGACGAGGGCTGCCCGGGGAATGGTGCTCTGCAAGGATGGCTCCTCACTTCTTTCCAGGCTTGGCTCTTTCCTGCTTGTTTCTCCAGTGCCTCACCTCCATGCCTTTGGGCAGCCTCCTGTGTAAACTCCCTCCTCCAAGGCTCACCTTCGGCCTCCTGCACATGCCCGTCACGCCCCCTGCTGTGGAGAGCTGGAACAGCAGCCCTAGGAACAGCCTGTGGGGAGCTGGAAGGTCCCGTTTTCCCTGGTGTCACCTGGGCCTGGATCAAAGGAACCTTTTGTAGGATCTCTGTAGCTATCCCCGGGGACTCCTGCCACCCCCTCTGCCTGCCTGTCCCTTCCAGCCCCCTAGCTAGGGGTTGACAACAAGAGATGCAAGTGACTCATCATGTATAATTACAGGCAAGGAGGACCGAGGCAGGACCATGGCATCGATTTCAGGCAACGTATGTGTGCCCATCACTTACAAGGCATCATCTTGGTCTCCTAGGAGTTAACTTCACTTTAGAGAAAGAAGACCCCATCAAGTAGCAAGGTGCAGAAAAAGAGGGATAATACTCCTCTTTGTATACAAAAGATGGGGAATGTGATATTTGCTGAGACGGCTATACTGTATGCATTGACATATATGCAAGGGTAAATAGGGGGTGTTTGGCCTGGGCACCCTGGGCCGGGGATGGGAGACTTTTCTCTGTATACCTTTTTATACTTCTGATTTTTGAATCAAGAAATTAAATACATCAAAGAGGGGAAAAAAAGAGAAAAGGAGAGCCTACTATTTGGTGGCCTGCCTGCAGGGCTCAGGGAGACAAAGAGGTCTGGGGAGCATTAGGGGTTGAATTATGCAGGGCTGACCCTCCGCGCAGGCTCTAAGGCTGCCACTCAGCCACGAGAGCGATGGTGTAACTGTTGCCCACTGGTATGGAAAGCACTGGAGAATTTACTTTTCTTCTTTGGGACTCCAACTGGAGTGGTTCAGGCAGGGTGTCCTCCCCCATACTGGGCATAGGGCCCAGGACCCACAACTTGTCTAGTCAGTGTGTGGTCCTGGGGCTTGGCAAATAGGTCACGTCTTTGGAGGCTAATCTGACAGGGCCCAGAGCCCAGGGTCAGGCTGAGCCTGAGATGGGCTGTCAGGAGGCACAGCTGAGGGGAGGGAGGCCAGGGACAGGCAGGACCCAAGTCCAGATGCCCAAGAGCATGTAAGCCTCCTTAGCGTCCATTCTTCTGTCACCAAGGCAGATGGCAGTTTTCTCCTCTTCCCGCGGGGCAGCTCTCTCCCCCCCTTTCTAGGAACTGTTCTCCAGACCTGAACCGGGGGGCCTCACGTAGGGGAGCTCTGGTCAGTGCTGTGGCTTCACTCACTCACTCCTTCTGGTGCCTGTGGGCCAGGAATCCGTGCGAGGCCAGAATGGTGTCTTCCGGTATCTGTAACTGAGTGACCACACTTCCATAGCAAGAGATGTGCCACTGACTTTTACACACCGTCTGGGTCAGTGTCCAGTTCCAAAACAGCGAGCTGGACTGTCTGGGATGCAGCATGAAGAACTATGTTGCTCCTGTCACAAGGAACTCTGTCAGTTCATTGCCCTTTCTAATTCCTGTCTCTCGCAGATGGGGAAATCACATCCAAGCCAATGGTGCTGTTCCTGGGACCGTGGAGCGTTGGCAAGTCCACCATGATAAACTACCTCCTTGGGTTGGAAGACACTCGCTACCAGCTATACACAGGTAACAGTGAGATTTTCCGGTGTATGTCATATGTGAACAATTACAACATTCCTATGTGTTTTCAGTATAATAATGAAACTTGCAGATGAGAAAACAGCAGCTATACCCACATTCACAGTGGTGTTATTCACAATGTCCAAGCAGTGGGAACAATCCGGACATTCCTGATGGGCGGATGCATGAGAGACACGGTCTTACAGAGGAATGTCATTCAGTCTTAAAAAAGAAGGAAATTCTGAGATATGCTACAATATGAATGGAACTCGAAGACACTATGCTGAGTGAAGTAAAGCAGACACAAAGGGACAGATAATTTGTGACTCCACTTATAAAGGACCTAGCGTCATCAGATTCATAGAGACAGGAAGTAGAGCAGAGGTTACCAGGGCCCAGGGGAGGTGAGCGGGGAGTTTGCTGGGGACAGAGTTTCAGTTTGGGAGATGGATGGTGGTGATGGTTGCACAATAATAGGAATGTACTTAATGCCACTGAAATGCACACTTAAAAATGGTTAATATGGTAAACCTCGTTGTGTATATTTTACCACAATTAAAAAACAAAGAAACCACTAGCTTAGCAAACAGTATTCACTCTGGGTGGCAAAGTCCCCCTGAAACACCGTGCTTACAGGCTGACTATGTGGTAGGCCTGGCTCCCTGTTAACCTTGTGCCCATGCGTGCAGGTGCCGAGCCCACCACCTCTGAGTTCACTGTCCTCATGCACGGGCCCAAGCTGAAGACCATCGAGGGCATTGTCATGGCTGCTGACAGTGCCCGGTCCTTCTCTCCCCTCGAGAAGTTTGGCCAGAATTTCCTGGAGAAGCTGATTGGCATCGAGGTTCCCCACAAACTTCTGGAGCGGGTCACTTTTGTGGATACGCCAGGCATCATTGAGAACCGCAAGCAGCAAGAAAGAGGTAATTTAGCCTCATTTCTGAACAGCATGTTTTGTCTCAGGGAACTTTTCTCAACAGAGGGTGGGAAGCAGGCAGAGGAGAGGAAATGTGGCCAGCGTGGTCCAAAGCCAGGGGACATGCTCTTCTCTCCCAGCCCCTTCGTGCTGATGTGGTGCCACTTGGTTGTGGAGAGCCTCGTCCTTTTACCTCCCCAAGGACTGGTCTGGTTTGGAGGTGATTTATTTTCCCAAGGGGAGGCTGGTGTCCTCTGTAAATACCTCCTTGAGGTCCATGCCAGGGCTGAGCTGTCTCTGGGGGACCTGGACTAGTGGGATCCCAGTCCAAGTGTACATAACTTCTGGCTAACTTGGGTCTGGGTTGAACCTGACCTTTATTCACCTCTTCCTAGTGCCATGGCATGCTTTACCAGGCCTGCTTCAGCATAAACCTGTATTCAGCTTTCTAAAACCCTACATGCCATCAGGTGGCAGGCATTAGGCTGTGACCTGGGCCCTTGAGTATGGCCATGACATGGGCCCTCTGCTGAGATGAGTCACAACAGGGCATTTGTAGGAATATATGACCAGATGGTGGATCTCATTATCATATAACTCTCATTTTGGTTATAACCAAACCCTGTTTTATTACTAGTAATAACATTACCTTAATAATTATAGTAGTCACTTAACCTTTATTGGACTTCTGTTCTGCATTATGGTTTGATTGTTACAGAAAAATTTTAAGACAGACATTCCTAGTCTCCTCTTTTTGGAAATAAGTTAGAGGAACTAATATACATGGAACACCTACTATGTGACTGGCAGCTTTAGTTAGGTGCTTTCCTGTATTTAAAGCAACATAGTAATCTTTATACCAATTTAGGTGTTATTGTTCCTCTTGTCATTTTGTAGCTAAAACAGGAAAGTTTAGCAGCACTTAATATTCAGCTGGTCAGTGGCAGAGCCCCAGTGCCAGTCCAGGTCTTATGGCAGGTCCACGTTTCTTTCCCAGAAATAATGCATCCTCTTTCACATCCTTCTGATTCTTGACTTCCTTCCTTCCACATCTCTGCTACTGTCCCCAGATCTTTTTAGTTGGTAGGAAAATCCCCATGTTGAAAAGGTATTTTGCTTTCCTGAAACCTTGGATTCCACAGATTAAAACAAGGATCAGGTGGTTCTTGGTTGAGGGTTGACAAGGGGCCGGAGATATGTAATTACTTCTTTAAAAGTCCTCAGAAACCCAGAAAATCTGTAGTGCCATTACTTCCTTCAGTCAGGGAATGGTTTGGTTCTGGAAGGCAGCGCAAGGGGCTCGGGCGGGCCTGCTCGTCTTGACCTGTCGCTCCCTCTCCCCGAGGTTATCCCTTCAACGACGTGTGCCAGTGGTTCATCGACAGAGCCGACCTCATCTTTGTCGTCTTTGACCCAACCAAGCTGGATGTGGGTCTGGAGCTGGAGATGCTCTTCCGCCAGCTGAAGGGTCGCGAATCCCAGATAAGGATCATCCTGAACAAGGCCGACAACCTGGCCACACAGATGCTCATGCGGGTCTACGGGGCCCTCTTCTGGAGCCTGGCCCCGCTCATCAACGTCACAGAGCCCCCTCGGGTTTATGTCAGCTCCTTCTGGCCACAAGACTACAAGCCTGATACCCACCGGGACCTGTTTCTCAAGGAGGAGATTTCCCTCCTGGAAGACCTGAACCAGGTGATTGAGAACAGGCTGGAGAACAAGATCGCCTTCATCCGCCAGCACGCCATCCGGGTCCGCATTCATGCCCTCCTGGTCGACCGCTACCTGCAGACGTACAAGGACAAAATGACCTTCTTCAGTGATGGAGAACTCGTTTTTAAGGACATTGTGGAAGATCCCGACAAATTCTACATCTTCAAGACCATCCTGGCAAAGACCAATGTCAGTAAATTTGACCTTCCCAACCGTGAGGCCTACAAGGACTTCTTTGGCATCAACCCCATTTCCAGTTTCAAGCTACTGTCTCAGCAGTGCTCCTACATGGGAGGCTGCTTTCTGGAGAAGATCGAGCGGGCCATTACCCAGGAGCTCCCCAGCCTCCTGGGGAGCCTTGGGCTAGGGAAGAACCCAGGTGCTCTCAACTGTGACAAAACAGGGTGTGGCGAAACCCCCAAGAATCGCTACAGGAAACACTAGGTTGCCGCATGGCCCTCCTTGTTTTCCTAGTGGCGAATGAGCTTGTGTCCTGTCTGGGAAGTCCTGGTTTATTAACCCTTCGAGCCACTGGCAAGAGTCATTATGCACTGGAGACTGGGAGTTAACTGAGGCCAGTCGTGGGGGGAGGTGCGGGTCACAGGAGGGCGGAAACTGTGAATTATAGTGTGCTTGTCCTCTTGTAGCTTCAGTGAGGGGCCTGACTGACGCAAGTCAGGCCACACCTGCTTTTCCTGGGTCCTGTCTCGGAGGGACCGAGAGCAGCTAAGGTCTGGCATGTACTGAATTCATAGGTGTCCATAAGCTCAGAGTGGCTGAAATTCCTTTCCCCCTCTAGGTGGGAAAACAGTTGAGTTCTGTAGGGCTGCTCAGGCCCACCGTGACCTCCGTCCTCTGTGCCCCAGTCCTCAGCTGCCTCCTAGCCCTGGGCTGACTTCAACAAGGACAGTCTCTTGGGTCGGAATCAACCTGGGTTTTGAGGGGACCCCCAGGCCCTCTTCCCTGTTTCCTCAGGGGGTGGGAGGATGCTTGAGGATCCGGAATACTCGGAGAGAACAAGAGCTCCCGGGCTAGGAGACGGGCCTGCCTCCCCCATGCCATTTTTCAGACAGTCTTCTAAGCCAGCGGGGAAGCTTGGTCCCTCTGTTGGCCCCAAGGAGGGCAAGGGTTCCATGTATCTAGGTAACTTCCTGGAAGTGCCTTCGTGGGAGTCCTGGGCGGGCTCAGAGGGTTCATTGGTTTGCCGTGTGTCTTTGTCTATTGCATGTCTTGGAAAACTCAGCCCCCAAAGCTATTGGGTTTCAGAGGGGACAATGGAAACCTTGCTCCTTTCATCAGGGACTTCTCTGGGCGGCCATCCCTCCCAGATTTAAGAGGACGCTGTTTCCAAATCCTCCCAGTGGAGACTCTTGGCAGGAGAGTTGTTCCTCCCTGGTTTTGGTCATCAAGGCTGCTTCTCTCCCTTCTGCTCCATTCCCTGATGTGCCAATACACCGGACTCGGAGGAACCTCCCAGGGGTCAGAACCGGCACCAGCCGCTCGGTGTCGGAGGCAACCACGGCTGCACCTTCTGTTCCCCCTGCACTTGATGCCAGTCCCCACTGAGTGCACCTGGGGAAAGCCAGGCCTTTAAATACCGGAATGTGAGGGTGTGTGGTTCATGCTGTCCACGAGAGAGTTAGGCGACGACAGGCCAGAGGGCATGGAGGGGGAGCTTGTTCTGAGGCCCTGCCTGGCTGGTGTGCCACCTTGGAGGGCAGCAGAGGACAGGGAATGCAGGGAAGAGCCTTCTGACAAAAAGTGGGCAGACAGTCTGGGCAAGTCCAGGAGGCCTGGCCAAGGGCTGCCCAGAGGGGCTCCTTCTGCCTGGTGAGCCAGCCTCTCCTAGGTGCGTGCTGTCCCCAGGAGGCTCCACCGTGAGGCACGGGTCAGATGCACCAGGAAGCATCCTGGGCCAGAGGGAGACGCAGTCTGCCGGTTAGGCCGTGGAAGCCGACTGGCGATCGGATTCGGTCCACCTGGAGATCAGCCCTTTTAGAATTCCGGTTTCTCAGGATGGCTAGTGCTCTAATGCATTCTGTAACTAGGGCTGCTGCCTTTGGTTTTGTGGAAGACCTGGAACCTTCCACAAGAAAACCGGAGATCCCAAAGCCTCCAGGACATTGTTTTGAAGGATGGAGCCACCCAGAGAAGAAAAACCGTCTGTTAGGAGCGCCCGAGGAGCCCGGGGACCAAGGCCCGATGAGCTGCTGTTCTTCTCGTTCAGATCCAGCCTTTGCCTTGGCTCTCCACCATTTACCCTCTCAAGTCTGCCCTCGCCCCTTGCCCCTTAATGCCTACCAGCTACTCCTGGCATGTCTGTGTCCCTCAGTGCGGCAGGGGACTGTATGGGCATTGTCATAGCTGCTGATGTCACCACTGCTTTGGGGGAAGAGGGTGGAATGTGGGTAATACATTCATACAATATTTTTATTTTCAGGGAGGTGACATTATCAGTGTGATTATTTTCCCCCCTTTTCTTTTTTGTACCCATTTTCCTTTTCTAACTCCTTCTGTTTCCTGGCTCACCCCTTGACTTGCCTTTCCTCTAACTGCAGCAGGCTTGTTAGTGAACAGGCTCTGCTTTAAGTGCTGTTTTGTGCCCCACTCTGCGGAGGAGGATTCTGAGGCAGAATTCTGACTCTGGGTGGGGGGTATGGACTGGGGGAAATTTAGGATCCAAAGATCCCCCAAGAGGAGTATCTGTAAATACTTAATGCCTGAACAGTTGCTGTTTCTCACCAAAGCAGAACCTTTCCAGTGTCCTTTCCGTTCTGATTTCATCAGGGAGAAAGCCAATAAAGTTCCAAACTCTCTTTAACACTTTGTACTTTCTGACTGTCTCCAACCATTTTCCTTTCACCTAGTAGAGTGTACTGAATTTTAGTGACTTAATTTTCCTCGGAGCAATTTTAAGTTCACAGCACAATTGAGAGAAAGCAGAGATTTCCCATTGCTCCCTGTACCCACACATGCCCAGGCTCCCCCACTGTCAACACCCCTGGAGTTGAACATTTGTTACAATCCATGATCCTACATTGTCAGTTATCACTCAAAGGCCACAATCTGCTTAGGGTTCATTCTTGGGGATGTACATTCTGTGTGTTTGGGCAAATGTGTAATGACATGTGTCCATCATTATAGTATCACATGGAATAGTTTTGATTGCCCTAAAAATCCCCTGTGCTCCACCTACGCACCTCTCCCATCTCTGACCCCGTCTACTGGTTTTTAAGTGTCTTGGGGGATAGGTTGAAAATATATAAATTGCCCACCCTGGTTTTGGACACCCCTGCACCACCTGCTCCAGCTCCCTCCTGCTTCTGGAGGCCCAGAGAGAGCCAGAACTCTCAGCTCTGAAACGAAGGCTTCCTGTTGCATAATTGGAAACTTGATGAAATGCTCTCTCCTCAGCACCTGGATTTGTCATTCCACCGGCATTTGTAGCAGCAGCCTGTGAGTAGGAGTTATTGGAACTGCTATCCTCAAATTATTCGAAGGCGTCTTGACATCTTGACGGGGCTGTGCTCAGCTGGTCCGCAGCCATGTGCCCACTGGCACCTGAAGGCTCCGGTGGGGAGCCGGGAGGGCTGCCCTGGACCTGAGGAGACGCCTGCTTGGCTTCTGCAGAAAGTGATGCCTCCACAGGGTGATCCTGGCCTCCAGCTTGTACGTGTCTCTAAAGAAACATGAACTGTTCTTCATTTTGCAGTTTTACCTCTGGGGCCCTCCTGAGGATTTCACACCCCCATTTGAGAGCATGTTTTGAAAAGGAAAAACTGGGACCTGGGGCATTGGTGGGAAGTTGCAAGTAAGCAAGACGGGAGCCTGAGAGTTAAAACCATGCTGCCAGGCTGATGGGGTCTCATCAGAAAGGTGGCCACTGGCTCTGGTTTCCCAAAGTCTAGATGTCTGATCTTAGGGCCAGATGAGTAGGGCCGTGGGGTTTATTTCCTCCATCTCCCCTGCTTTCCTCCTGATGAGGAGGTCTATATTCCACAGTCTGAGCAGCTGAGCAACCTGACCTAAGGCCAGTGCTGCCCACCTCTGAGCCCAGGTCGCCTCTCCCACCCATGACTGCAAGCACTATTTTCCCACGACTGGGAGAAATATAAGCTTTCCCTGGAAAAGGGAAGGTAGGTGAGGCCTGTTTTGAAGATAAATATAACATGCCAGAAACTGCTGGTGTTTTGAAGATAAATATAACATGCCAGAAACTGCTGGTGTGTTTAGAACCATGCTATTTCACAAGCCTCATGACCTACCACCTTTACGTTGTCTGCTACTAAGATGATAGGGAAACAGAAACACAAAGTGAAGAAAGCAAAAATCAAAGACCATTCTAAACACAGCCAGGTATCAGGGCATGAGTGGATAGGGTCCTTACAGGTATGTTAGAATATATGGCGGTTACACTTGGCTATATGTATACGGGGAGTGCAAATGTGTGCATGTTAAAGTCTTTGCATTTGGAGAAACCAATGCATATGTGTTTGTGACCAATTGGTCCTCGAGTACTGAACATAGTACCCAATATGTAGGACTCATCACTTTTGTGCCATCAGAACAAATTAAAGTAAGTGGGTTTAGGGGAAGTAAGGAAGGTGTCTGTGCATTGTATGGTGTGTGTAGAGGGTCCGGGGAATAGGTATGTCTGGGGTGGGTAGGCAGGTGTGTCTGTGAAGTAACTGTATAAATAATGTGTGGATTACAGATTAAGGGAGCATGTGTGTCGGCAGATGTGTGCGTGGGGTGAATGCGGATGCCCAGCCCAGGGTGGAGACCCGGGAAGATTAAGCCACGGGAGGACATCCCGCCAGGCCCTGGGCCTTGCAGTTGTCTAACTCACAGCCTCAAAAACAGACTAGCAACATTTCATGCCAGTTCCACTTTCAGTGACACCAGGCTCAAGCTTTTCCCACTCCTGGGAAACCTTAATTTTTTTTAGAGGACTATAAAGGCAATACAAAAGAAGCGTAAGAGAAACAAAACGAGAGCAGAAACATAAATTTGCCTCTGGCCAAGAGGTATTCAAAGCGCCAGCCCTGGGCAGATCCACATCTGTGTCCCTTCCCTGGGCCCCCGTGGCATTTCGGTCGCTCCCCGCCAGGTGCCCAGGGCCGGGAGAGGACACGGGCCGTCCTGCAGCCGCCGGGGCTCGGTGCCTGGCAGGACGGGCTCCCGGCCCGAGTTCCCTGAGATCAGGGCCTGGGGGTTGCGGCCGCCTTCCCCGGGGCACTCCCTCGCCCGACGGAGCACCTGAGGCCCCGAGCAGGGCGGTTCCGGACTAGGGACGCGAGGGTGGTCAAACCGGGCGCCGGGCCGAGCTTGGCCTCGTCCCTCAAGCCCGGGTCCTCAGGCGCAGACGGCCATCCCCGCCGACGGGGTCACCTCCCACTCTCGTCTGCCGAGCCCGCAACGCGCACGCGCTTCCGCTCGTGGCCGGGGCTGTGGGCCTGGCCCCGCCCCCTCCGGCCGCGCCCTCCGGGTCACGCTCCTGGGCTCGCGCGTGCGCAGGCGCGCGGCGGCCCTTCCCGGGAACTTCCGCGCGGGGCCGACTGAGGTCGCCGAGGTCGCCGAGGTCGCCCTAGTCGAGGCCACCCCGCGGGCTGTTCCAACGCTGCAAGCCCAGAGGGTCTGAAAATTTTGATTTGGGACCGGGAATCAGTTGTGATTCACTTCTCTCAAATGAGGGAAGGGAAGGAGAGAGGCTGCTGGCACAGGCCACGTTTCTGGAGGCATTTGAGGGAAGGAAAGAACGTTGGAGACAAACTGGTGCCGGCAGGTATTACGCTGTGGTTCGCCCGCGGCCAGCCGTCAGGTGAACCAGGAATCGAGCCATTTTACGAAGTGGTCCCACCTCGCGTTTCCCGCCCGGAGCTCTTAGACGCTGGAATCCAAACTGCCCTCCCCTCCCGGCCTCTAGGGCAGAACCCCAGCCAGCCTTTGGGCCACTGAGCCCACCCTCGTGAGGGTAGGTGGGAAGCCCTCGGGGCACCTGAAGCTCCTGAGGGGGCAGGGAGGGTGACATTCTCATTAAAACGTGTCTACCGTGGGATTCCCCGAGTCCCTCATTGAAGGAGCTTGAAAGGACTTCGGAGATTCTGCAATACCCCATCAAGTGGCCCTTAGCGATTTTAAATGTGACATGTCACGGACGCTGATGGAGGTTGATCCCTCTGCCGTGGGCCCGGCCAGCAGCCGGCATGGCTGCCCTGTGCGGCCCTGCAGGGAAGTTACGGGTGTGAGGGTACCTGCTTGCAGCTTGGACCCCTGGGCACTCTAACAAGTGGGAGGGGGCCTCTCTGCCTAAACTGGGGTTGACCGGTTGGTAACTGAAAGGAAAGGGAATTTACTTGAAATTTCTTGGGGTTTTGGCTGTTGCTTTGGCGTGGAGGTCGTCTGGCTATCTGGTACCCTGGTGGCCTGAGAGGAAAACGGAAGCTCTTGGTAAGGAGTGAGGTGATTCTTGGGTGAGAATGAGTCGGTGAGGGGCTTAGCTGGCGACCTGCCCTCTGCACTGGGAAGCTTTCTTCCCTTATATGCATCCCTTTCCTGGCTTTAACTTCACAGAACATCCAGGAATGACAGGGAGTTGTAGCACAGAAGGGCCCTGTGCCATTTTTTTCGGATGCGGGAGCTGAGGCCTAGGAAAGGAGAGAGACTGCTGGCACAGGTCACAGAGCCAGCTAGGGGCAGAGACGGGACTTGGATCCAGGTCTCCCATTCCCAGGTCTGTTCTCGTTCTCCTATGCCATGTATGTCAGGGGCCAGCAGAAAAGAGATGGTACATACAATTGGGTAACCTGAGGCAGGGCTTAGGGAAACAACTTTGGATACTGAAATATTCTGGGGCTATTAGCAACAGTGGGCTCTTACAACTTCTGTGCCTGGAGGCAGAGAGGCTGTGTGGAGGGTCATCTTCCAGAGCTGGGATTTTGGGTCAAGGGGCTCAGGGAGGCAACTGGGGGGATGAAAATCCTCTCATCAGTCAAGGCTCCCTGTGGACCAAACTCAAGGGGACGTCAGAGCAAGGGAGGCTTGACTCTAGGGCACAGCACAGGGTGGGAAGAATGCGTATGTACCTGGAGGAGCGCATGAAAGAGAGCCAGCATGTCAGGTGGTCTTACTTCTCGTAGGATAATGTTTACATGTCCTGAGTACGCGCTGTGTACCGGAATGTCCATCATCTCATCGGATCTTCTCATGAACCTGGTGTTCTCCATTTGGCAGAGAAAGAAACTGACTGGTGAAACGGCTTGCGAGATGGAGGTGTGTGCAGCTGACGCCTGCCGCTCCGGAAGCCGATCTTGCGTTGTGGATGACTGTGGAATGAGTGGATGAATGAGGAGAAATACGGAAGTAGATGGACTCTCCTGTGGGTCCGCAGTGGAGCCCTTTCTCTGCGGGCCTGGAGGCGCTCCATGGAGGGGGGTTCTGTGCCTGTCGGTATCTCACCTGCCAGTTTGTAATAGGCCAAGTATTTGGGTTAAAAGGGCAGCTACAAAGATCTGAAAAAAGCCTTGGATGCTTTGGCTTTGCTTGTGGAAGATAGCTTTTGGAACTGAACCATTTTCCCTCTCTGAAGCCACCCGCGCCTGATCCCTGACGCCCCCGCAGTCTGGGCAGAGGTCCAGGGCGCTGCCTCTTCCTGCTCGGCTGCTACTCGTTGCTCCACCCACAAGCCCCTTCCGCTAACTGCGCCCCTGGAACACACCGTCCTTCAGGGGTGAACCAACCGCCGGTGTGGCGGGGAGAGTTCTCCCAGCACCCCTGACGTGGCCCGCAGGAGCGGAAGCTTCAGGGTAATGGCACCGGGCCTTTCCTCCACGCTCCCCTTCTCTCACTGGCCTTGCTTCGGAATCCCCTTTCATTGGCCCAACAAAGCCTTTGATTCATTGTTGGTTGGCCCCGCCCCTCAAGCGTGGAGAGGGAACCTCCAACACGCTGACCCTGTGCTGTGTGCCTGACTTGTGCCAGATGCTTCACTCCCACTGTCTCCTTTCATTTCATAGTGATCTGCTAGGCAGAAGGGATCAGGAAGGGACCCTGCAGATGAGAGTGGGTAACTGGCCCAAGATCCCACAGCTCTTAGGGTGGAGCTGGCACTGGAGCTCTGATCTAAGTCCGGGGCCACCCCAGCACACTCCTCACCCGGAATACGCCCTGCTGCTGCAGTATACGTGTTCACCTTGCCCTTTGCTATTCAGAGCCTTTTTCTCCTCCGTGCCACTGACCACGCCCCTGGGGATTGGGTTTATCACATTTGCTATTCAATACCCCTTGGGGGTTTCCACATGGATCTGCCTAACATTTGATCTCATCCGTAGTCTGGGCAACTTTCTTCGGTCTTTTGCTGATATGTCCTCCATCCGGAAGGCCATTGTTCCCATTTCTGAATAGCAACATCTAACCGGTTCTCTAAAGCCTAGCTTATATGCCACCTCCCCCGTGATGCCCCTCCAGATTCACCTCCAGATCCCCAGACTCATCTTTGTGAGCCTCCCTTAAAGGACTCATCACATTACTTCCTGTATTTACAGTCATTTGGACATGCAGCTTATCTGCTTGGCTGGGGGCAGGCGTGATACTGCAGTAGTGTTTGTATGGCTTCAGTTCCTAACAGTGGCCCTTGTACCCAGTAAGCCACTGGTGAACAAATGCATCAGGGGAGCTCTTTGGGGTGAAGAGTTTGTAAAAAAATGAAGAGTCATCCCTCAGCTTTACATGGTGACTGGCTTAAAACAAGATTCGCATGTGAGTTAAATGTCCTTGTTGAGTCTGGCAAATGGGTGTGAAGAACTTGAGAAGCTTTGAATTTCAGGAAGTGAAGAGACACCAATGAAGATGGGCAGTGGGGAATATGTGGCTTAGGTGGAAGGCCTGCACATCTGTCTCTACAGATGGGGTCCGAAGATAGTGAGCTGTAGCCCTTTATCACGGGCTGCAACCTTTCCGAGGCCATCTCTTGTGCTCCCCAAGTCCCTCTATGTTGGCTGCCATAGATAAAGCCTGTCACTGTTGCTCTCACCACCAGGGCTGGGGGCACCTTGGCCGTGCCTCCCTGGGATCAGAGTCAGCTCAGAACTCCCATTTCTCATACCACCCCAGACAGATGCTGGGGCCCTTCAGCAGAGAACGGTGTAGGCTGGGATGACTCACCTGTTCTGTCGCCGCCTACGGCTTGGTTCAAAGCCCTTCAGAATCACAGCACTTCCCCAGGAGAGGCACAGAAGGCTGTCCTTAGAGACAGCAGCTTGGGTTCCTGCTTCTGTAAGTGTCTGTCACTGTCCCGGTGTTTCAAAGTCTAGATTAGGAGGAGTTATCCAACCGCACGGTCTTGGAAAATGCATAGAGGCAGCAGCCTGGAAAGGAGTACCCCAGTCTGACCGCCTGGATTTTAACTGGGCTCTGCCAGGAGCTCAGTGGGAGTCTAGGGAGGAAACGGATTCATTCTTTAAGTAAAAATGGTTTTGATCACCTATTCCTCCTGTGCTAACTGAGGACAAGGAGGGCTATAAGTAGTCAAGACCTACCCCAGTGGTCTCTCGGTCTCTGTAAATCAAAGCAACTCAAGGTAATCAGTGCTCTTTGAAGTGTCTTGCGGCATAGAAGAAACTAACTTGTCTGGTCTTACCGGGAATGAGCAAGCAGGGGGAGATTTAACTGAAGAGGTGACATTTGATCTGGACCTTGACACTGGAATTCTGGCAGTGGTAGTAAGTTTAGTGGATCTTTGGACAGTAAGTACTGTGCAGTATGTCAGTGGGTGCAGAGAAGGGCAAGCGTGGAGAGGAGATTAGACTGGTAGGTCTGTCTGGGTCTAGCAGAGAAGGTGGTAAGCCATGTAAGCTTTGGGCCTTAATTCTGCAGGTAGATGGTAGCGGAGACGGAACCGGTCTGCCCTGTAGGAAGACCATTCGGGCAGCAACATGAAGGGTGAATAGAAGGATCAAAGGTGGTGAGGGACACTGGGCAGAAGAGGGCAGTACTGCAGGGAAGGACGCCTGAGGGCCTCAACTATGGGATCAGAGAGGAGGATGGGACTGGATATCCCTCAAACTAAAGTTCTGTGCCCCAGAGCCGACCTGGGCCTTTGTACCCACCCCCTCTCCCCCCACCCCTAGTTGATTACCTTGATTACTTGCTCACTCTCCATTCTGAGGGTGCTGTGTTCTATTTAGGCTTTGACCTTATCCAATTTCCCTGTTTGTCCATTCCATCTGCCCCACACTTCAGATGAGATCTCAGCTCCTTGGGGACCAGCTGGTAAGAAGCTGTCCTTTGCCTTAGGGTCTTTCTCACTCCGTCCTCTGGCCCTGACCGTGCTCTCTCCTCTGGCATCACCCTTGGGTCTCCAGACTGGCAGTGGTAACTACACCGCCCTTCCCATTACTCTGCCCAAGAGGAAGGATGAGACACCATGTCTCATTGGCAGATGTTGACCAGCAGAAACTGGGAAAACAGATTACAGGGACTTTGGGATGTTAGTCCACAGAGAGAGCAGAATGCAGGGCAGGCCCACAGAGTGACTGGACAAGTGTGAGTCCTTGAGTTAAATTTAGATCAGTTCTATAAAATGTGATCTTAAAACCAGAAGTATGTGTCTTTCCCTAATCCCCCCACTGTTATCCCAGCCTCGGGTCACAGTACTGCCTCTTTTTGCTGTACATGTTTGTAAAACTCAGCTCGTGATCCTTTGGCCTGTGGACTTCAGCAATCAGTCAACAAATAGGGTTTAGGAATCTGCTGTGTGCCCGGCCTCATGCTGGCTGCGAGGAGATACAGTCACCCCCTGGTTATGTTCTCCAGGAATCAGGAGACTGGCATTCTAGTCTAGTTGGGAGAGCAAAACACACATGAGAACCAGTGAGGGAACAGAAAAGCTGAGTAGTTGGAGCAGTTAGGGTTTGGTGGCCCAGGCTGCACATACAGAACCCGAGGAGGGAAGGGGTGGATGGTTTAGGTCTCTTG